TAAAGCGTTTATCTTATAGTTCGGCTATGCCACGGGGTTTTTCTAACCGATACGGCATATTCAGTTATCTACATCCAAAAAATTCATTACGTCCGTCCCAGACATCTTAAAAATACGGGACGGTAACAAAATTCAAATTTTTTAATTGTAAGGGTTTTTCGGTGGGCACGCGGGTAGCTGCAGTCGTGCCCCAGGGTTTCTAAATAAAACTTATTTACACACCAGTTTCCTTTTATTTTTGGACACCGTGTATCTACACCACAGAATACAGAATTATTATTTAGTTGGTATCCCTGGTGTCGATACGGTAGTATTCTGCAGTCGGCTATGCCGTTGCCTCGGGTTGCGGTAAAAGGGCAATGGCGGCGATCCCAGGTGTCGAGATGTCGGAGCTGATCGCCTCGGCTCAGCGGTACTCTAATTTGGCGGTAGCTGTAAGTTTATCGATTAGCGGGTTTTTTATCCGGGAGTTGGTAAGCTATCGATGAATCGGGGTGCGAATGATTGGTGCCGCCGGGTTCTATTTCAGGTGAATGACACCAGCACTTCCGAATACTCGGCCCGTCAGTGCGGTATGGTACTTATGCTAGAGGTGGTACACAGGATGTGACACGGCCACTACCTCCGCTTAACGTTCACAACCTTACGACTAAATCAAGCAAGCGGGAGCTGGCTACATGCGGGTCACAGGCCCCACAGTTATCGAACTTCCGGGTGTTTGAGGGTTCGTCTTTCAAGGACTGGATGATTTCTAATGAATGGCGAGGTTAAGGGTGCAGGGACAGGTGGGTTAAGGATATAAGCGGAACGGAAACGGTATCGAATGCAAACGGGAAATCGGATGAATGATTATCAGTTTCAGGTCTGGATTCAGGTTATTGGTCATCAAATGACAGGATAGAAGTGTCTTCTAAACTCAAGGGATCCTCCTTTTATACAGCCATGATTAGGACTACGACTAGGAAGTGGAAATGACACTTGATTATGTTATCATTAATGTCATTAATGATTAGTTAGCGACATCTATTGATGTCAATGTAGTGCATTTGTAAAGGAGCGTTTACACGCTCCCATAAATAAAGGCACGGGTACATTGTTACCTTACATAATCGAGAGTGAATCGAAGGCTGTTACTGTAACCCATTCAACTAATTACCGTTAATTATACTTATTCAAATAGTCGGAATGAAATCTCCCAATTCGGCAGTCCAGCAATTCCCTTTTGTTCGTTGGAATGTGAGGTCAAACGGCGGGGTCTCCTATTACCGTTGATACTTCTGTAAACTGCACGAGTAATTCTCTCTTCTTCTCTGCCAAGAGTTCAGATCGTCGAAAACTTTTAACTTTTAATAACAAGAGCACCTTAACAGAAGACCTAACTGCTTGCTTTTTCAACTTGCTAGACTTCTTCCATAGAACGGACAAACCGATTTAAACTTCTCACACAATTTTAATTAGCTTGCTTCTGCACAAAATTATTCTAATAAAGACACACTACGTCTTTAACCAATCACGGACAACCCGAATAAAATAAATAGCGTAAAGAACGTAAACGCTTTCCAACAAAATAATACGCAATTACGCTGAGACAAATTCAAATGACACGAAATAACTGTGTATTATTCGTAAATAATCCCCCAGATTTACACTTAATAAATTGAAATATTGTCACATACAGAGATCTTGCGGGCAGCGGCGATCGATTTCTGGCGATTGATCTTGAAGCAGAATTACGGCAACAAAGCACAAATTAATTATCGGTAGCTACGGGAAATTAAATGCAGAAAAGCAATATTCCTCCTATAATTAACGTAACAATTAAACGTAGCGGTAGAAACTTCTGTGCCAGAAAAAGCAAAAGCGGTAATTGCGGTGCAGTAAACTTAATGTAAAAGCAAAAATTAAACGAAACGAATGCAAAATAAATTTACGGAAAGTATCAAAAATTAATATTGTACTTAAAAATGTCACTAGCAAAACACCAAAGTCCGATGATTTAAATACGGTACGGTTGCCAAAGTAAATTTATGTAAAAATTTAAAAGTTACGGTACTTACAAAAGTAGCAGATGCAAAAGATCTTACGTTTCGGTTAAAACGCCAAAGGCAAAAAGATCGAGGGTTTAAATACGGTACGATTGCTAAAGTAAATTTACAAAGAAGCTCAAAAACTTGCGAAGATACAATAGGCAAAAGATCCCCTCCATGCCCGGCCATGCCATGGAGGGATTGATGGTGTTTCGTTTCCAACCAACACTTAAAACTTCCTAAATTAATTGTGCGGCCTGCGGACGTCCTAAAAATCTGTATATTGGTTTGAACATTTAAACTAATTAAGAGCGTTTCTTTTATGACTGCATCTTATTTAATCGGATACTTTTAATTATACTCACTTCAATGGGCGAGATGAAATTCCAAAATTCGGTAATCCAATTGACACCTATTGTTAATAAAAAACATTTCTTCTCAATAAACTATTTTTTGGGAGCTACGTCTTCAAAAGTAAAATATACGTTTCTTCTTTTCTCCACGGCCGTACACACAGAAGTTATCTAGGTTTTTAGCTATTGAGGAAAATTGGAAAATTTAGGTTAAGCCATTCATTCCATCCTTCGAGGAGTTTGTTGAGACAAGACAAACGTTAATTTTGAAAGCTGTGGAAACGTAACCTTTCAAACGGGATATTTCAGTTTCATCAAATGTCTATGATCCACCCATGATTGTTTTCTTCTTGCAAATCGGCATACCTTTGTCGGTAGTAATGCCTATTGTCACTGACAAGTTGATAGGCCACTGGTCAATGTGATTTACAACGACCTTTTCAGCGGTCATTCGGGCCGTTTAGCAAACTATCCGAATGGCCGTCTCTCCGATCCGTCCGTGTGTTCAGCGCGTTCCAAACACTGATAAGGTTTTGGAAAAATGCCTATAACGTTTAATCTGAGACAAGAGAACCTTGGACAGGAGGGCGAACATTTTTGATTGTCGTAGTATAGTAGGCACAAAAATATTGTTGTTCACTTCTTGTATTTCATCCTTTGTATTCTTTATCAATCGAGTGTATATAATGCACGATTGTCGATCGTGTCTTATCTTCTATTTGTTTGTGATGTATCATACGTCGAAGGTCAGCAGCTATTGAAAAATCACTGCCATGGCTATGGAATATCTTTATCTCTGGTTCTATCACGATGTTGGTTTATTGCGTAAAGTTTTCATTCTATTTATACCTTCTTGGACAGTTCTGATGTAAACAATCAGTCGGAGAAGTGTGACGGTTGAATCATATCGGCATTTTTGGTGCGCCTGTAAGTTTTGTCGGAATAGCTAATTTTGTTGGATTTGTGCTATTTCCCGTACGTATCTATAATCTCTAATTTATTTATTAATTCCAATTTATATGTTTATTAGGACTTGTTTTCGTATTGATTTTCTAACGTTAGAACGACCTTGTTTTCGCTATAATTTGCAAAGATCCCCATACTGTCTGGCATATAGTAATGCATTGTTTTCCTTCAATATGTACAATTGCACATACCAGTAAGTATCTTGATTGCAATTAGAAAAACAAACATTCAGTGGATAATTTAGGGTAAGATAGCACGCTATACTGTATAGCAGTGTTTCTCAAACTTTTTTGTTTGGCGGCACAGTAAAATTATTAAACAAAATTCGTAGCGCCCCTAAGTATTATTATTTTTTTGCTTTTTTACAGATAGTAAAGATATGAAGGATGAGAAGTACACAAAAACATTTAAAACAAACGTTACTATTTCAAATGTGAAGGAATCTGGTGAACTTATGCTTCTGATGGGATTTTTGGGGACCTTTAATATTTCTCTGTTCTTTGTTAAGGTGATTTGTTTTGGACGGGAGTAAAATCATCTCATGCGTAAAACTCGGCAGCCGAAGGTGAGCTCGACTCGCTTGCGTGGCTCACAATATTTTAAAGCTCATGTTACCATTTAAAAGGAAATATGGCATTAAAATCATCGATGTCTCTTAGAAATTGAGTAATATGCGCATTTAAAGAATATTTAATAGTTTCTGAATAAATAAAATGATTTTAATATTATTGTTAAATATACGTAAATAAAATACAGACTAAACAGAATTGTACTAAAAAACGAACATTATTTTTTTAATATGTTTTAATTCCTTTTTTAATTTATGTAATTTTAAATTAATTACATGTAGGCATTTAAAAAATTCGCGGCACCCTTATGAAGTACTTGCGGCACCCACTTTGAGAACCACTGCTCTATAGGGAGCTCGTATGTATGTTCATAACATCACACGGCCGAAAGGTTTAACAAACCGGTTAACTATAATAATTCTAATACAGAACTGTGCTAATTCACACACTCTTTGCCTAAAATTTGATTGATTACCTCCCAAGTGAGCAAACCCGCGATTTTAAATAGCGCATTGCAGTACAGAATGATCAATATTTCGAAACTTTCAGAGGAGCGGATGTGGATGTTCCGAAATTTCCACCGCATATTTAAATTTTTACGGCTTGAGAACTGGAGGTTTTCTATTTGAAAAATTCATTTACAATTGAACTCGTATATACCACAATCTGAAATATTAGTAATTCAAATTCGGTAGCTTTGGGAGGATTTAGTTAATTATTCGTTCGCACGACAGATTTCTCTTTTTTCGAAATGTAATTGTTTCTAGAAGAATGAGACAACTAAATTTTAATCTAATGTCGCTAAAAGCAGAAGTGCACAGTTTCAACTCATTTAGAAATGCCGACAATTTTGTGATGAGGGTTTTCGAAGCTTCGATTCCAAACTTTTATAGAAGTAATGATTGGACTTTCTATCACCGTGTGACAGAGGTTGAACAAACATCCACCGAGCGTTCCACATTTCTTGCGGATGTGAAATTAATGTGCAGGTATTCATTACGTAACTTGTCTAACCTACACGGGAAACGCTCATAAAAAAAAGGCAGGATGTATGAGCCGTATATAACGATGACTTTTCATTTCAGAAACATCCAGTAAAGATGGAGTGTGGCGTAAGTGCGGGCTACACTAATGGCACCACCACACCGACCGGTATTCTCGCACACGACGTACGTACCGAAAGATCGCCCGCGAAGGCGGGCCTACACGTAAATTTTAGTGACAAGAGTGAGGTTAAGGAACGTAGAGAAAAGTTTCTTACCGCCAAATATGGAAATCATCAGATGAGTCTCATACGAAAGAGGCTGGCGGTGGAAATGTGGCTTTATGAGGAACTTAAGAAATTGTACACGACACCGGTAAGTTTCCGATTTTCTTTCTTCTCAAATCTAAGTGTATGCATTGTTTATTCAGGGTTACGTTTCGAAATTTTTTTTATTTTTCATTTGCCTGTCATATGAGATATATAAAGCAGTCTAGGACGCCCGAGGGCATAATGAGATGACAATCCATTATGCCCTCTCATTATGCCCTCAAACTGCCTGTCAAATATATTGATGGAGTTATGTAATAAAAAAAGATGCTACTTGATTCGTATGAAGCACTAACAATAATCATTACATTTGTATATTGGAAATGCATTACTTATTTGGAACGATGAAAAATAAAATGTTGTATGCACCTCAGGCATTACTCGATATTTAACCCTCGGGCGACTTACAATCCCTCGGGCCAGAGGCCCTCGGGCTCAGTCGCCCTCGGCATAAATATCGCCTTAATGCCCTTGATACATAAATAACTATTTAAAGTGAGCATACTTTTGATTAGCTCATTCCTATTGTCTTTTTTGAACTTGGGGGACTGGGCGGTGTGTCCCTAAAGACTTTGGCGTTTTGTTTCTGGGTCGTGTATAAAAACCCAGATTGCATCACCAGTGAAACCAGTAAAAAATAAAAACGATTTTGCAAAATTTTTTCCGGGTATCTCCGAAAGTAGTCGGCATTTTTTCAGTTTCAAAACTGCATCTTGTTAAGCATCAAAATACGCGACTTTGCCAAATTTAAACTACCTACCTATCCTATCTCTTAACAGTTCCTGAGATCCCCATGGTGGCCCTGGAATTTGAATCAGCCTGTATAAAGGGCATTTTCGGGGAGCGCGTATCAAATATCATGCAGCGCCCTAATTAGCGAAAGATATTTAACCAGAGAGACCCATACTCTTGATCAAAACCCCAATTTGATTTATGAAACGATAAATTGGCTCTGTTTGCCATCATGGTTATTACTGGGGGCCATTATTTATTATGTGCACGTGTTAAATAAATGGATTACGCATGCATGATCCAATTTGCTCATTATTTGTGGACGAATTTTTCTGTAATTTTAAGGGAACGTACGCCCTAAAAAATAAATTAACGGAAGATAAGAGCAAATTGATATCACGTGTAAAAAAATAGAATGCACATGCGCAGACAGTTTTCTTATTCATGGTGTTCTCAAATTTGATTTATCTTTAGTTGTGTAAGCACACTCATTACATTTAAAATCCTTCGAAGCTTTGTGTGTTAAAATGTGCATGCTTAAACTGAATATGCGATTCGTTTCATAATAGCACAGACCACATTTTAAAACTGTTCTTGTTTATAGATTTACTTCAAACTTTTTAGCAGTATTGATTTTGTATTAAATGACAGTTGACCATGAAACATGACGTTCGTATTAATCGGTCCTCAATAGGTGCTACCAACTGAAGAACACTCCTTCTCTCCAGCGGAAACTAAAAAACACCGCCGTGCGGGATTATCGTTTTTATACGTACGTCAAATGTGACATTTTGCTGATCATATTCGAACAGCGAAGCATTGTTTCGTTGCTAGGAGCAAAGAAGCGGAGAAGAGGCAGAGTACTTCTCTGCTCTCTGCTTCTTTTGAATTCTAACTTTGTGTTGACTAGCCGTTTATATACAAGCAATCTCAACATACTAATAAACAAGTATAAATTGTGCACAACTCTTGTGCAGATATAGTGCATTTTTTAAACCGAAATAGCTTTTGTTTTGACATCACCAATGGATGTATTTCTTGCAAACGTCTCAACCGCCCTTTGTGAGTATCCTCTTCCGACAATCCGTTCTTGAGGTATAAGGGAATATACCCGATCACGATAAGAGGTCGAGGAGGAGGGCTATGGTTGGCAGAAATTGATTCCTTTCGTTGAGACCTTTCATTAGAGTACCATGAAGGATAAAACTAGTTCCACTCCCCCCTACCCCTCCACCCCGTACTTTAATAAGAGGACAGAAAGAAGGGCAATAGTTGGTAGAAAACGGTTCCTTTCGCCGAGACCTTTAATTAGAATATACAATGAGAGATAAAATTAATGTTTAACCCCCCTCCCCCTCAGGCCCCGTCGCTCACTGATCTCGAAAAGAGTCGCACGGGAAAGTTATAGTTTGTACAAACCAATTTATTTCGATGAGACCTTTCATTAGAATACCATGAAGGATAGGATGCAAAATCTGAGACCAATTGGTTGTCGTATGCAAAAGCTATGCACGTTTTACTTTCAAAAACAGCATCTCAGGAAATAATTCGTGGGGGGGGGGGCCCCTTTTAGACAGCGAAATTTGATGGCCGTTTGGCACACCTTCAAGGTATAGGCTACCTACTGCAAAAAATTCCAGGACTCTAGGACCATTACCCTAGAAGTAGTTCAAAACGGTAGAAGTGGGTCCGGACAGACGGAGGGACGGATAGAACGCAAACAATAGCACATTTTTTAAATTCTTAAAAAATGCACTAAAAATTTAGTATTTACCACGGACGAGTGTGATCCGCTAACACGTCGGAATTTCCGTATTCTCCGACTTGTCAGCGAAAACTCACTTCTCGTCCTTGGTAAGCAATATACTATTTTCCGTGCATCGAGTATACTTGATAACAACAGAAATATCAATCATAGATTGGTGAGCTCGTTTTAGCACTTGATAAGAGAACCGTACTTCATCGATAGGAGTGGTTAATGCTCGTTACACGAAAGATACATCCAACAACTCCACCAAAAACAGTTCCAAACCCAATTAATTCAAATATACGTACTCCATTAATAAATGGGTTTCGGATTGCGATGTAGGTAAAATAAAGGTAGGTAATTAAATAAAAACATGGCATAACCTAAAAAGAAATGGGTTAACAAAGAGGAGTTCTATGAAAATAACTTTACCTCAAGAGGATACAGCCCTTCCCTATTCGCGTAAAGACTGTTAGATAATTAATTTAAACAACTTCAGCGAGATGATTGGAATTTTGCAATTCAGATCTTTCACAAAAATTCGGACCTGCCGTGTCAACGACAAAAGCAAAAGCAATAACAATGGTATCACCTACTCCTACCACCTAAACCAAGAGTACACTCAACAAATCAACGGGACGCTACAAGCCCTTAGGAAGCGTAACTTAACCTCCTATTAAAAAATTAAAGGGCTATACGACACCGTAATCAGAACTCAAAATTTGTATAAAATGTGTTGAATCCCTTAGCATTTGAAATATTAAAAATGCTTACCAGAAAATTTGATTACGGAAAATTGAGGAACTCTCCAGAATGAACGGAACTCTAATCAGAACTTGACTCTGTTACAGAGCAATCATATATAGCTTTATTATTATTATTAGCTTTCAGTTAAAACTAATTAGAGAAATTTTTCGAGTCTTGGGGTACTATTCGAGACTTTGATCGAACTCAAAAATTCCAACCAGAATCATTCCTTTGAGCACTTCAAATAGGAAAAAGCCTCTTAATTTGTTATTATAAGATTTACCACCAAACTTCATTAGGGAAAGTTAAAACTGTTGAGGAGCTTCCATTGCTTGAATTTCAGCCCTTATCAATTCGATCTGTTCTTTTGGTATCACTTCTGGTGGTAGTTGAACCTCAAATCATAATCAGAATTAGTATGCTTGTGACACTTCTCTTTTTAGAAATCGCTCGGCTTAAGTGTGAAATTCAAATTACTAATGGAGTGTCCTCATATACATTTTGTGACCTATAGGTTTTACCTACAAATAGTAAGTTGTTTACCCGGTTTGTTCCAGGTATATGACATGCGTCTTAAAAATAGCCAACGGACACATAAATAAAAAATATTTCAGTTAATATTGAAACTATAAATACTAAAGAACTATAAATTGAAAAAGACCACAACCTAATTAGTTGTAGCTCAAAGTAGAGTTCAATTAGTTTAGAAGATACCGTCATTATGTGGGCGGATTTCAGTGCGCCTAATGAGAAGATCCGAAAGAAGAATTTGGTCGAGCTAAAAATAAAACAATTCTTTGATACCCCGGTTGTAGGTTTTAAAAGCTCGTGTTTGTAATGAAGTAATAGCATTAGTGGAATAATAATACCTACTTGTCGTTAAAATATTTTAGTATCGTTTGCTATTAATAGCCTCCGTAATGGTCTTTTTTATTTTTATTGTACACACTGAAAGTCACCGCAAGTGCGCTGAACTAAAAATCTTAATTTCCCTGCTCTAAAAATAGTAGGTACATACTCTAGATTTTGTCGAATTGAAGGTAACCGACTGATCTAACGTATGACATCCATAGAATGGTTGCTCTTTCTGAGTTTGATTTCTGCAAAACCTTCAGATTGATGATTCCCACTTTTTAATTTCGGCAAGTTACCTAATTTTACCCTTCAATGATACGTCTTAAATGTCTTTGTTTACCCGTCGACTATCAAGAAGTTCGATCGGTTTCAATTGTATTGTAGGATAATAATCGATGCAATGACGTAATTAAAATCAACATTATTAACCCAATTATTGATCAGAGCGGTTTACATTTCAACCCTGTGAGGTTGCGCGTTGCAGCATTTGTAAAGTAAATAACATTCGCCCGACGATTCTTTTGCGAAAGCCGATTTATATCTAAAAACGCACGCGGAGAATAAACGAAAATAAAGGGTATTGTCGTAACGAGAAATTTCCCAACGGAGCCGTCCATCGTTCAGCCCTCATAAAGTTTATAATGGCCATTGCCCTTTTGCCGCGTGTAAATATTTAAACAGATAATTCTAGAAAAAAAACCAAATACTGTGAGCAACATGCTTCTTAGTGATCAGTTGTCACAGATCGTAACTCCTAGCCACATTTACAGATTTTAAATTTAGAATATCAAACGGAGATTTGTAAATATGGTTTTTAAAAAGCTGTATTTTGGCACCGACCCTAAAAATGAGTTAATTCCCGTTCTTACTTGCGCCTACATCATTTATCATTCGCAATCTGCAATAAATACTCAATTTCGATCATTTTGTCGGCAAACAGCTTGCCAAAGAGGCGCTTTATTTTA